CGCTCGTCGCCGGGACCGCCCCCTCCCCCTGTCGCCGGGCCCCGCCTCCTCCTCTGATGCCAACCCTGGGCCCCCGCCTCCTCCTCCACTGCCCGGTCCAGCCTCCTTCACCGCCACTGCTGGCTCTAACTGACTCGGCAGCGGCTGTGGAGAGGAACGCGCCGCTGCACAGTTCACTGCACATTTCTCTTCACAGCCGCCAGTGATAGCCAGCAGCGTGAGATGCCATAGCGACCCAGGCGGCCCGCAGGGCATCAGGAATGCCCTGGCTGGGCCCCCCTGTGCCCCGGGCCCCATAGCAGCTGCCTGGGTCGCTATGGTGATTGTTACGCACACTGTCCTGTACCTTATTTTAGATCCAGTGACGTCATCAACCTATGGGGCCACTAACATCTTGGAAAACCACACAGTGACACTGGCTGCAAGGATGCTGGTGTCCCCACGGGGGTCACTGGTGGTTGTGCTGCAGCTGCCTGTATCCTAGAATCCAATGACGCTGTGCGTCTCAACCACTGGTCACCTGACGACACAGCGTCCATTGGTTGTTAGGACACAGGGGGCCCTAAGTTCTGCTTGGGATGTTTGCCAAACCTGAATTTCTGGCTGTGCTCTGCAAAAGTCCAAGTGTACCAAACCAGGGCCAGTTTGCTCATCACTAACAGACAGCAATAAGAATCTAAACACAAGAAATTACCCCCCTCCCCTTCCCCCAAGTAATAAACTGTAAGTGAAACAAATGCTATTCATGTTCAAGACATTCCACAACTAAAATCCACTTAGAAACACCATCAAACCCCAAATGCCATGATACAAGTCCATCATAAACTAACTTGAACCCTGAGTTGAAGAGACCCAGGTCAGCTGACAATATAAATAGTACTCAATATATCCATCCATCCATCCATAATCCAAAGGTTGAGGCACTGGTTCCCCATCAGTGATGCTGAGAGACTAGTTCCCCATCAGGTCTGCTTTCCTTGTGATTGACAGCTGTTGGCAGAAGGCAGATTCCATAGAAGCTAGCGGGCTGTCTTGCAGCTATAGACCTTGTCAACCCCAAGCAAGGTGGGCCTGACGGGAACCTAGTTCTTCAGCATCACTCATCAGGCTCTGCCCCTACCCCCCCACCCCCCCAATCTAAGGGAGGAAATACTATGCTATAGTATGTTTAGCCCTGCGTCATTGGTTGCTAGGACACTGGCGGCCACCTGCGTTCTTGCAGCCACTGGGAAGGGGGAAGTTGTGTTTACCATCTATCAGTGATGTGCGGTACCTCTTGTTCCGGGTAAGGCATTCCCCAGCACGCCCCCACCCTGTCCCCGCC